CCTCCGTGGTGGGGGAGTTACTGATCCCTCCGTGGTGGGGGAGTTACTGATCCCTCCGTGGTGGGGGAGTTACTGATCCCTCCGTGGTGGGGGACGTACTGATCCCTCCGTGGTGGGGGAGTTACTGATCCCTCCGTGGTGGGGGACGTACTGATCCCTCCGCGGTGGGGGAGTTACTGATCCCTCCGTGGTGGGGGACGTACTGATCCCTCCGTGGTGGGGGACGTACTGATCCCTCCGCGGTGGGGGAGTTACTGATCCCTCCGTGGTGGGGGACATACTGATCCCTCCGTGGTGGGGGCCGCCCGATCTGTGGGCAGGATGAAACCTTGGCACATGTATTTTTGAGGTGCGCGCGGCATGTTCCAGCAGCTGGAAGTGCGGTTTGGAGCAGATTTCTCTGATGTATTGTTTATTTATGGTTCAAGATACAAGGCGCGTGAGAAGGGCTAGTCGTGCATGTTGAACCACAGGCCAAGCTTGCGATACGGCCGTCTAGGAAAAATAAGCTGAGAGGGGCTGGGTCGATGGATCCTGAGTTTGTACTGGTGGGGCTGGTGTGGCTGGTGGCAATGAGGCTCTGGGTGGAGTTTACATACTCCTGACCCATACCTTGCAGGATTTCTCGACTGTGTTGGGACAAGGAGCGGTGTTGTGTAATGATCAGGGCCTAGTGTTAAAAGTGTGACAGTGCGTGACTTTTGTGGCTTTGTGCGATGTGTTAAATTTACATTTATATATATATATATATATGTGTGTGTGTGTTTTTTACTGCCATTGTTTGTGCTTTTATGTTAATAAAGAGTTTTTAAAGGTGAAAGTCTCTCACTCTCTCCCCATCTCCACTTCTCCTTTCTTCTGCCCAGTTTGCCGGACTGGAGGGCGTGATCACGGCGCTGCTTGATGAGTTTCCGCAGGTACTGGCCAAGCGGCGGGAGTGGGCCGTGCTGGGTCTGGTGTGCATCTGCTACCTGGGGGCCCTCTCCACCCTCACATACGTGAGTCTCCCCTCACCTCTGTCCTGCTTCTGCAGGACCACTAGAGGGCATAGTGGCTGAGGAACACAGCCAGATGAGGCCAGCATTTTTGCAGGTTCTCATCCTTGAGGCATCCAGTGTTACATGTGATGCGTTAATCAGCCAGTTAATGCCCTCTCTCTCTTCCGATCAGCCAGTTAATGCCCTCTCTCTCTTCCAATCAGCTTGTTAATGCCCTCTCTCTCTTCCGATCAGCCTGTTAATGCCCTCTCTCCCTTTTTCCTGCATTTTTCCTACCTCCCACCTCCAGGGCGGCGCCTTCGTGGTGAAGTTGTTTGAGGAGTATGCCACTGGCCCTGCTGTCATCACCGTGGTCTTCCTGGAGGTCATCGCAGTGTCCTGGTTCTACGGTAGACATTCCGTGCTCCCAGATGTAATGCCTGAGACATTCTTTATTTGTGCCTAATGTTCACTTCTGGGCATGTGTCCTGGCAGGAACCTCGCGGTTCTGCAGCGATATCCAGATGATGCTGGGCTTCTCTCCAAGCTGGTTCTGGAGGGTGTGTTGGATGATCATCTGCCCCTGCTTCTTGCTGGTGAGCGGCACGCTGGCGTGACTTGGGGGCAGATCTCTGTAAGATCTCCATAGAGTCTCTATAAGGCTAACGAGACCCCCCCCACCACCACCCCCAGTTTATCATCGGCAGCTTCCTGGCCTTCCCGCCCGAGGTGAAGCTGTTTCACTATCTCTACCCGGCCTGGACCACGGTGCTGGGATACTGCATTGGCGTCTCCTCCTTCATCTGTGTGCCCTCCTACATGGTCTACCACCTGCTCATCACGCCAGGCCCCTTCAAACAGGTGTGTGCAGAGCTCCCCCCCCCCCCATGTCGGGCACGTGCACACCCCCATGCACTGACGTGGAAGCCTCCAGATGCGTAGCTGCATTTCCCGACACCTACATGCGTTAACAGGTAGTGTCTGTAGATTCATTCATGCTACACGGATCGGCGGCAGCCGTGACGGCGAGGCCGTGCCGTGAAAAGCCTGCAGTGAATGACATCAATTCCCAGCATGAACGCACATGCCCCCAGCCCCCACATCGCACCTGTCCCCGGCTCCATCTCCTCCCAGAAGGCCTTTGTTCACTCAGAGCCTCTGCTGCTGAAAGTGGCTGTCAGTGGGTGTCCAGGTGTCATGTGAAACCTGACTGTCCTGCCCGCATGTCGGGACCAAGGCCAGACCAGGGCCCGTTCACAGTGACTGCAACGGTGACAGTGATAGCGCCGGGGCTTTGGTGACCCAACCTTTGTGTTGTGGTGACTTTAAAATGCGAATGATGCCAGTTTCGGTCAGGCGGCCTGCATGACACTTGTTGCGTTACCATTGACTGTCCAGCAGAATTTGCTTATGAATATGTCTATTTAAAAAAATTAGAAATACACATTGTCGTTAGCACACTGAAGAAGGTATTACGCTGAAACGCATCTGTGTGGAGACGTTGGTTAATAAACCAGCCTCTTTGTTCATTGATACATTCTTTTCTATGCTGTGATTAGGAGTGAAGCCCGTTTTACAGTATTTTATCAATGTCCTCAGTTTTACCCTGAATACCTCTGTCCCCCACAGCGTCTCCTGAAGAGCATCACCCCAGAGGTCGGGGCAGCGGGGGGGCCACATAGAGACATCGTCACCAACGCGGTCTGACCAGGACGGCGTCTGACCCTCTACTGGACATTTGCCGGAACTGCAGGAAGGGCACACCCGCCCCCCTCATGACCACCCTCAACGTTCTGCAGTTTCTCTCTTACCTTCCAGATGTGGACAATTTCGACGTCCAGCTGGCTGTATAGTGAAGGTGGGATCTGGGCCAAAGATGCCGTTGTTTCTACATTTTTTTATTAATATTATGTATTTTTCGTTATGTAATATTGTCACGCATTTTGTGGCCTAAACCAGACCAATCAGGCACAACAGCTCTGAGTAAACACCTGATGTTTATATATACTCAAAATATATTGTATAACTGTGACATTTTTACTGTTTAGTCCTGTAACTTTTCAGTGAAGTGTGTCCGTTGATGTCTGTCCGTACGTTTTACTGGAAGTGAACGTCACAGCACACTTCAGAGCTTTCACAATCATAGTGAATCACTCAGATATATTTTTTTAATTCATCTGTTTTGCAGCTACGCATTTTTTTATTTACGGACACGAATGGTAGCACTTTTGCATACGACCTCCACTGTTACCTGTTCTGTCACTTAAGTCTTCATGATAAAAGGCATAAGAACCAGTTTGTGGGCCGGAGGTCTGGGCCGGAGCCCCTGGATGAGACTCTTTTCCAGTGGAGGTCCCGTCAACTGGAAGGAAAGCTCCAGTGGGTTGAATTTGTGTGTGCGTGTGCGTGCGTGTTTCTGTGTGTGTGTACTTTAGCGGATGAAAAGTTGTATATCAGGAAAATTCATGTACCAGATTATATGTACAAAATATATATGTATGTCTAGATTATATGTCTAGTCTATTCCAATATAAGATGTGTATTTATTTAAAAATATCACCACTGCTGTAATTAATTTGATATATTCTGTACCGAAATGTACTCGTTCGTCACATTTATCGTGGAGCGACACGTGTAACATGAGTATATTTTTATTGCAAACTTGCGCTGACTGTTCACATTTATGCCAGATTCAGGTATATTAACAAACTCCTGCTCTGCATATGAGCACCAAAAAAAGAAAAAGGTGTTGAAGCGTCAGTATGCACAAGGCGTGTGTGTGTGTGTGTGCTCAGTGCGTGCTCAGTATGCACAGCGTGTTTGCACGTGTGTTTAGTGCGTGCTCAGTATGCACAGCGTATGTGTGCATGCTCAGTGCGTGCTCAGTATGCACAGGGTGTGTGTGTGTGTGTGCAAGTTCTGCAAGGGGCCCGCGTGGCGTGTGTGAACCGTAGATCCACGTGCTGGTGTCTGTCTCCGTCCCGTCTGTCCGTGTGAGTGCCATCTGTGCACCCCTCTGTCTGAACATGTGTTCCCTGTGTGCAGAAACTAACAATCCGGATCAGGAAAAATACATAGATAAATATATACATATATATAGATTGATATATAGATAGATATATGCAGTGTGTCAGTGTGTCTCTGTATGACTCTGCTTTCATTACAGGCCCCTCTGCCTCCTCACTGGTGTCTTATATCCTGTGAAATACAGAGTAAACTGTACATTTTAAGCATATGATCTGTGTCAGTCTGTTAAAGGTTGTATATCCATGTAAAGGAGAAAACTACATATAAATGAAGAGAAATAAAAAGGAATATCAATGGATGCTGAATCTGCCTCCACTGTGGACATGCGGTTTGTGAGCCTTGTGGCCCCCTGACCCCTGGTGGCAAAGGTGAGAATCAGGGCCCTGTGCTCTAGGCTCAGACCAGGTGGGCAACACAGGGGTTAAGAAGCTGGGCCAGACTTATCTTAACTCTCAAGGAGAACATTTGAGGTGTTCATTGCTCATTGTTTCCAGAAGACAGTTGACTGATTCAGTGAATAATTTCACCCATCCATTGAATTTGGATATGCTGCGGTAAGGACTTACATCATTTCTCTTAGCTCAAACTGTTGTACAATCACTAACACCTGAATCTGCAACCTGCTAGTTAGTTGGTCTCCTTAACCTCCTTTTTACCTGATATGACAGGTTAAGAAATGTAGCAGCTAGCCTGCCCGTCCTGTCCGTCCTCTGTGCCCATCGAACACTGAACACAAATGCACCCTGCAGTCTCCATTGACCTGATCTCTGTGTAGCAGGGATTCTGCTCGCCATCCTCTTCCTCATCGCCTTCCTCTTCGTCATCCTTCCTCCTCACCCCCTTCGCCAGCCCCTTGCCATCTTCTTCCTCGTCTTCATCCCCCTCATCTTCATCCTCATCTTCATCATCTTCCTCATCATCAACAATGCTCTTTTACCTTCTCACCTCCCACTGATCCTTCACATCCTTCACTCCACTCCTGCTGGTGCAAACATTTTATTAAATTTTATCACTGCCTTAATATCAGATTTAATGATTTAATTACATCAAATAATATACTTGACTGTCATTACATTGTAAGAAATTACTTCAGCCAATACTTTTTGGAAAAAGTTTGCATTTAGTTCTGACTTCAGTAATGTCAGAGTAAGTGAACATACATAACGGCATTTGAACCTGTAACCTGAAAGCTGGAATTCTTGGTTAGCCGGATAACTTATCAGATTTAAGGTACCCCAGTTTAAATGGACTTTATCTCTGCTCACTTACATTTACCCCAGACTACCTTAAATCTAACAAGTTATCTGGCAATGCAAGAAACCCTGCTTCACCATACGGGGCCCAGCTGTCACATGGCAGCCTCATTTCTGGTTGGCTGAATCAAGCACACTCCTGAATTTCAGTGGGTACAGTATGTGTAAGGGTCAGGCTGAATGGACGACTCGGGTTCACACGTCACTCTGGGGCGATGTTGGGTGTGTAACCATGCAGCAATAATAATAATACGTTTCAGAACTCCACAAAATGAAGGCCCCCACCTGTGAAGCATGCCCCCCCCATCCAGCACAGTACAAGGGGCCCAGGGGGTGACACTTTAAAGAGGATCTGATGCAACATGATGTGGAAATCTTTAGCAGAGGTTATGAGAAGTCACAGACACTCACAGCTAGACACTCACAGCTAGACACTCACAGCTAGACACTCACAGAGCAGCATGTCACAGGCCTGGGGATTCCTGCAGACGTTACGGAAGGGCAAACATGCCAGGCCCCTTAGTCACAGGGCGGTTGGACATATCATTCTATAAAGGTCATTTTAAGGTTTTTTTAAGGTTCAATTGCACAGATAATCCAACCTAAATACTGAAGCCATCTTGTGACCACATCCATGATTTCATCATGAGGTTTAATCTACATCTTTGACCTGACCTATGGGGGATGCTGTATGATTTTGGGAGGTGGCCTGGGGGTCATGAAGCGGGAGGACAAAGAACAATCAGCACTGAGGACAGTCAGCCAGGGAAATCTGCAGGAGGCCCAGGGAATTATGGGTAAAATGGGGGCCTTTGTGCTGTATATGCTGCTGTGCCATAAAAGGCCATCTGCTACAGTAAACGTTCAGAGGTATAAAGCAGAATGCGTTTGCATTCTGTGACTTTTAATAACCACTCCTCTATATGTGGCTTCACTCGCCCTGGGTCGAGAGAGGGTTTGTCCTCAGGGCTACAAAGTCATGTGGTTTTGTAAACTGGCACCTCTAACAATTTCTGAAATTGTATGTAGTGTGTGTCGCCTGCTGGGGACTGTCACCCTGTCACTCTGCACACACCTCTGTACACATATCTGCACCCTACTCCAAACAGCAGCACACACCCTGCTCTTGTCTGACTGACCTGCTGCATGTTGCTGTGTCACTTTCCTATGGGGCCGCTATCCTGTGCGATGGTAACTTCCTGTTCTCTCAGCTTATCACACATCATCTATAGTAAAGGCCTTGCTGCCCCTACCCCACGTCCCTCGGCCCCATTGTTTGCTGTAATCATGGCTCTTCTGTTCCTCACACTGCTCCATAATCAT